AAGTACAGCTGTGTGTGAAGCCAGCAAGCTTCGCCAACTTCTGGCATGAGGAGACGGTACGATACGATGACGATAGCCACGTGACCTGCGCTGGATTCTCACCAGGTCGCGGTGTTACCTTGCTAGCCTTTGACTGTCGAGGGCGATGTACCTTGGTGAGACAAGGCTCGTTTTCGTAGAAGAAGTTGGTCGTTTCCCGAGACAAAACGAAAAGAAAACTGGGGTTCTGGCGGGATTCTTAGCTTGGCTATAAGCGCTTGGCGCTGCGTTTCTGTATCAGAGCACGCGGCCAAAAATTGATGGTGCAAACTATAGCGAAAACAGCCATCCTTTTTTTATCCGAAAGCGAGGCAGATCTTTCTTACGTAGAACGATCTTAGTTACGACCATGACGTAACGTCTCCTATGTAAGACTGTCGTAGCGGTGCAATCAAGAGCAAGGTCACCGTGGTAGACCTCATACATATGGTTCGTAACTACATGCGAATGTGGTCAAAATATATGAACTAATTACAGTGGGGACGGTCTATATTGAACCAAAATAGCCAATTAAATTATGTGCAATATGAAGCGTGATTGTATAGTATAAATACCCAAATGTCGCATAAACGCACCTCAAGTAGACTAGATAAATACATTAGGGTAATCGACGGTGAAAGATTACCAGGATGTGGATCGAGTGCGGTCATTTATGGACAAATACGAGCATAAAAATTGAACGTTAAATGACTATCTCCGGTGCTGCGTCCAGCAGGGTAGACGGACGAGCGTACGTTACGCCGATGGCGGCTTTTGCGCGAGTGACGTAAAGGAGGGGATGTATGCACGGTGGTGTTACGTGTTCTTTAACATCTTCCAGCGCCACGATCGGACGGGTTGCGAGCGAGCGCGTGAGCTGATATCGAGCCACCGTGTGAAGGCAGCGACGACGTGCCTTAAGGGCGGCTGAGTGAAGCTGCCTGCATTAAAAAGACGAACTCATGCACGCAATGCCCGCGTAAAGTTATCAAAGCTCGTGGAGGAGGGGGGAGGGGGGGAGGGGAGCCGTCGGTCAGGTAGAGAGAAGTCCGACGAGATATCGGTCTCGAACTAATCGCAATGCGCATAGATACTACGCAGCCAACTGTTGCGCGTACCGTTACTCGCGACTTCATCGTGATCTGCAAACCTTGCACTAGAGCACTGTGCATTCTCTGGGATAAAATGTAGAGAAAAAATAAATGAGCGAGGCAAGCTCGATTATCGTAAGAAAGATAGTAGATTAGTAAGTAAAAAAAAGAGAAAAAACTGAGACCGTTCGCACGGGATTCGTTTTCTTGCTCTAACTTTGACGCACTACCAGAGGGCCGCACTAACGCGCACCCGCACGCACGCACGGCACGCACGCGGCTGCGCGCACGTGTTCGCGCAGCATTCGTTGACAAGCAGCTCGAAGAAGACGATGCTTATACGTCACGTCCGAATCGTCTATATATATATATATGCGAGGTACGCTTCGTTTCAGAACCGGATAACGGCGAAGCTCTGCGTGGGTTCAAGAGACGATCAACGGAGATAGTGCTCCGGAGCAGTAAAGGTAAATTGTGATTTTAACCGAGATGACTGATAATGGAATATACATGGCTTACGTCTCCAAGGACGAACGTCATCGACCGTACGCATCAGCGCTATGTACGTATCCCATAGCACATTAAGGCGTACCACCCAATTATCCAGTTCATCGATATGCAGGATGAATAATAATAGATATATTATTTGTAATTATAATTATTATTATTAAATTTCTATATTATCATTGCTCCTGATAATATTACAGGCAGTAAGATAATTTTACTGTCAATATGCGCTTCAACCGTAAATACTAATCGATGTATAATGCGGTCGTGAATCTGACGTGTGGCTGATGATTGAGGGCCCCACAGGCTGGACTCATAAATTTGCTTAAATTTGACAGACAACGTGGGGATTTTTTTTTTACTCTCAATGCGACGTCGCGTGATTTTCTTACGAACGTCGATAACGAATTTTGCCGACAAAATGTGATGCATTAGTGAAGCGCTTACAGGTCACGTCGCTGGCAGCTACACGTCAGTGGCAGTATATCAGCAGTGAAAATGGTTTCATTCTGACACTTCATGTCGATTGACTTCTAGGAGGAATGCTCAAGCGAGGAGACGACTACTGCGGTGCATGCCACCGAATACTGCACATCTCTCACTCAGTTTAACTACTTCAAGTCGATTCTGTCGGGAAATGGAAAACAGTTATCATATATTAAAGGTATTAATTAAAGCTCGTACGACTCGTTTCACTCGTATGTGTGTGTGTGTGTGTGTGTGTGTGTGTGTGTGTGTGTGTGTGTGTGTGTGTGTGTATGTATGTGTATGTGTGAGAATATGTGTGTGTGTGTGTGTGTGTGTGTGTGTGTGTGTGTAGTGTGTGTGTGGGCTGTGTGTGTGTGTGTTGTGTGTGCATGTGTGTGTGTGTGTGCAATGTGTGTGTGCGTGTGCGTGTGTGTGTGTGTGTGCGTGTGTGTGCATAGTGTGTGTGGTGTGTGCGTGCGCTGCGTGTGCGTGCGCGCAGACGCGGCGGTGTGCGTCGTGCGTGTGTGTGTGTGTGCGTGGCGTGCGTGGCGTGTGTGTGTGTGTGTGGCGGTGGCTTATGGGTTGGTGGTTGAAATTAATATATTAACAGGTATTCAATTTAAAGCCGGTCACCGACTCGTGAATCTACGCGTAAGGTGTGTGTGTGTGTGTTTGTGTGTGTGTGTGTGTGTGTGTGTGTGTGTATGTGTGTGTGTGTGTGTGTGTATGTGTGTGTGGTGTGTGTGTTGTGTCGTGTGTGTGGTGTGTGCACAGTGTGTGTGTGTTGCATGTGGTGTGCGTGTGGCGTGTGCGTCGTGTGTGTGCGTGGTGTGCATGTGTGTGTGTGCGTGCGTCGTGCGTGCGTGCGTGCGTGCGTGTGTGTGTGTGTGTGTGTGTGTGTGTGTGTGTGTGTGTGTGTGTGTGTGCGGGGTGTATGTTTGTTGAAATCCTCCTAACGACCCCCAGCCGATACCCTAGTTCAACGCCCCTCCCCCGGGCCTCTCACGGCACTTTTACGATAAAACCCCTTTTTTCGACATCGCTCTCACACGCTGATTTTCCCGCCTTACTGGCAATACAGTCACAGCGCCACCCTCGCAAAACGCAATTACTACGCGGTACGCCACACTTATCAGCTGCCCCTAATATAACGATGGATGCGATGACAGTCCGTGTGTACGTGTGCGCACTCTCCTCTCTCCTCTCTCATCTCTCTCTCTCTCCTCACTTCACTCACCTCACTCACTCGACTCACTCACGTCACTCACTCACTCACTCACTCACTCGGTCCTACGCGCCACTCACTGCACTCACTCACTCACTCACTCAGCTCACCTCACTCACTCACATCCACAACAAAACACTCACTCGACTGACTCACGTCACCTCACAGTCACCTCGGACAATCACTCACCACTCACCTCCAATTCTCACTGCTCTTTTTTGCTTATCTTCTCTCAAGTTCACTCCTTTCTTTCTCACTCTCTCTCAATTCTATCTATCTATCTCGCCTCTCTCTGCGCTCTCGCCATCTCTCGCTCTCCTCTCCGCCTCGAGCGTGCGTCTCGTCTCTCTCTCGCGCTCCCTCTCTCGCTCTCATCTCTCTATCTCTCGCTCTCCACCTCACCGACTCGAGCCCTCGGCACCTGCTTTCTGGTCTCTCATCCTCATCTCTCTCTTTCCTCTCTCAAAGCCGCGCGACGCCGAGGCGGGCGGGCGGGCAGAGCGGGTCGTCTTGTTGCTTTCAACTCTTCTCTGTCTCTCTTTCTTCGTCTCTCTATCTCTCTCCTATCTATCGATCTATCTATCTCGCTGCTCTCTCAGCGGCCATCCGTCTACGCCATCTCGCTCTATGCGATCGCTCCTCTCGGTACCCGTCTCTCCCTCTGTCTCTTTCTCTATCACTCACTCCACTCTCTTCGCTCTCTCTCACACTCACCCCACTCTCTCTGCGTCATTCTCTCCTCTCTCTCTCTCTTTCTCGTCTCTAATCTCTCACTCACTCACTCGCACCACTTAATCCTCTCTCTCATTCGACGCACCGGTCCACGCCACTCCCATCATCTACTCGCTCTCTCTCTCTCTCTCCTCTTCTTTCTCTCTCCTCTCCTCCTCATTCTCTCCATATCTGTCTTCTCCTATATCTCTTTCTCCCGTCTCTCTCGTGTCTCCATTATCTCTTTCTTTTCTCACTCTCTCTTTTTCTATCTCTCTCTCTGCTCCTCTCTCTATCTATACTTATCTATCTATCCTTTCAATCTTGGGGCATCTCTGCCCCATCCATTCATCCTTCCCTCGTCATTTCTTCAGGTCGTGGCCCAGCACTCTCATCGCCATTGCGCGCAACGTAAAAAACATACTCAGAGATCGTCAGCACCCCACCAGTCTCTCTCTCGCTCAGTCCGTCCCCGATGCTCGAGGCTAAGCTCCCGGCTACGTCTCGGTCTGCGTCTGCATTCATCTTAACTAACCCCGCCCACTCTCTCTCATCTCAAACGTCACTCCACCACTCACCACTCACCCACATTCACTCACCCACAATCTCTCTTCTCTCTCTCTCTCCTCTCTCACGTAACGTCCGCCGCACCCACTTACACTCACAGTCACTCACTCACGCTCACAATCACTCACATCACCCTCCCACCAGTCATCTCACGATCCCAGCTCACCTCACCACTCTCTCTCTCATCTACTCTCTCTCTGCACTAACCCACCCCAACTCACGTCATCACTCACTCACTCACGTCACATGAGCCAGGGAGAGTGCGAGGCCGATTACAACAGGGGCGCCATGATTGGCACTCACTCACTCACGTCACCCTCAACCTCCATCACGCTTTCACTTGTCCACTCACTCACTCACAGCCAACTCACTCACGACCACTCACTCGCTCTGCCTGCAGCCGTGACAGGTGGGCCGTAAGAGGCAGCGGCAGGCCAGCGTAAAGCAAAGTCGGCCTGCATCACGGCGTGTCAAGTCAAGGGTGGAACCGAAGAGCCGCTTCTCCGCTCATCCGTAATATTTCCGTCCCACCGGCATCGGCGTGCGGGAGCAGTCCGGAAATCCGCGACACTTACTGCGCGATCAATAATATATGCAGCGGTAAGCGTGACTCACTTAGTCATTATCCAGGGAGGGGGGGGGTGTAATAATGACTTATCTGTCATCATTATCCCAGGTCATGATGTCATGATCATCTGTCAAGAGCGGAGACGGCAACGTCTCGCGACCCGGTTAAGTGACCTCGATGTCAACGTGACGTGGATATTTGCACTCGGCGTTCACGACGAGAGTTTAGTTGCGTTCACGACCTAAATATACGCGGCTTGCTTAGGGCCATCCGGCTTGCTTAGCGCGATTGCTCCGGCTTGCTTAGCGCGGAATCATATCCGCGCCTAACTAAGGGCCGCGTATATTCCGGCACCCACGCTTGGCCGCGTATTGAATTGTCGTGTGAAGCTATCACTGCTACCGTTCGGCTGCACGATCGTTAGGGTAGCGTCTGGAACTGTCCTAACGGCGGCGTATTCGCAAGTCTATCTTATACCGAGCTATAGCTAAGCCTCGAATCTCGTGTATCTTCGTGTGAACGCATTTTTAACCGGACTTAGCACAAACTAAGTACGGTCACCAGCTAATAGCCGTGTATACGTGTGAACGCAGCTATACTCCCATATAGCAACACATAGGATCAGGAGTGAATAATAATAGATTATTATCTATTCTAATAATCTATTATTATTCACTCTTGATAGGATTACGATCAACATGTTTGACCATCGTCACGCTAGAACGATCGCATAATAACTAGTAAAATGGAATTTTAAAAATAGAATCGGAGCGTCGTTTCCCCTCGACGCTTTGTAAGTGGATATAAGATGGATACAAGCTGATATGCGTGGGGTGGTCGGGTACACACGCACACACGCACGCACGCACGCACGCACGCACGCACGCACACACACAACCATGCAAAAACACGCGCATGCAAACGCAGTGAGCTGGCATGCGTCGGTGCGTTTCGGATTCTTGAAGGATTCGCGGTATACAGATTGAATCGGTTTTTGTAGTAATTGGTTTGAAGCACGATACAATCATGGTCAACACGGCAGCATGGTTCACTCCCCTCACCCTAGAACCAGCGCGAAAAGCCTGTTCACGTGAGAGTTATGGCTTCCACTCTCAACTCAGCGCAGAAGACACACGTTTACTTTTTATTAATGTTTCATAGGAATTCAACTGCCAAGGAAAGGAGAAAACCGACGACGCGAACGAAAATTGCTAGAGGCACATCTCTCCGGGAAAAGAGACGAACGTTCAGAACGTAACCACTGCCGCCACCACCGCCATCATCATCACCACCATCACCACCATCACCACCACCACCATCACCACCATCACCACCACCACTATCTCGCCGTCTCTCTCGTCTGCCAACATACGTATTGACGAAGATGCAAGCGAGCTGCTCATCATCATGCGCCCCCTAACGATGCCCCCCACGGACCGACTCGCTTGTCTAATTCGATTGTCGTTGTCGAGTTCGTTGTCGAGTTCGAGAACGGTTCGAGTAATTTCGTCGGATTCGAATCTCTCTGGATTCACGGCACAATTCCAGTTGCGCTATACCGGAACATTCACCGCACGATGGTGAATGTACATAGAAGCTGGCACCATGGCGGGGCGAGATTGTCCCGCCAAAACGTCGAAGTTAGAGAGAGACCAGCATGTGTTCTATATTCTACACGCAGTTTATAGTAATCGACCGACAAAAGGTCGTCTTACCGAGTTATTTCGCTAGATTGGGCAGAGAGATAGAGAAAGAGAGAGTGAGATAGAGAAAGAAAGAGAGAGAGAATGAGAGAGAGAGAATGAGAGAGAAAGAGATAATGAGAGAGAGAGAGAGAGAGAGGAGAGAGAGAGAGACGATAAGTAAGCTCTTGTTCATGAATTGCGTGTTTGATCAATGCCAGTATGCGTTTCATCAGCGAGCGTCGTGAAACGGAAACGTTACGCTAAAGGCCATAATAAAAGTAAAGCCATATTCAATTGAAGGTCCTGGTAAACCTGTTATATTTATATTCTAATTTAGATTATATACTATATATAGACTGGGAGACAATCATGCGATAATTATTAGCTAGGCCTATACATAATTGATGTTTCAAAAGTCTATTGTAGTGATTATTTTGTAGGGAATTTTTATATATCCTAAGATGTTAACCATATTATGTCAGAAAGATAGGAAACGTATTGTTATGCTCTACACGGGACTGCATATATTTGGTTGAACAAAACGCAAGGGGCGATTACAGGCCGTTTTGAGTCGTCATGCTTCAATGCCATTGTGTGTGTGTGTGTGTGTTGAGAAGTCGAAGAGATACGGTGCTCGAACTAATCGCAATGCGCATAGATACTACTGCACCACTGTTCGCCCGTTACTCGCGACTTCATCTGAATTCTGCAAACCTGCACTAGAGCACGTGCATTTCCTGGGATAAATGTAGAGAAAATAAATGAGAGCAAGGCTCGTTATCGTAAGAAAGATAGTAGATAGTAGTAAAAAAAAGAGAAAAACTGAGACCTTGCACGGGATTCTTTCTTGCTCTACTTTGACGCACACACACACACGCACGCACGCACGCACGCACGCACGCACGCGGGCTGCGCCACGTGTTCGCCAGCTCGTTTGACAAGCAGCTCGAAGAAGACGAGTTATAGTCACGTCCGCTCGTCTATATATATATATATCGAGGTACGCTTCGTTTCAGACCGGATAACGGCGGAAGCTCTTGCGTGGGTTCAGAGACGATCACGGAGATATGTCCGGGCAGTAAGGTAAATGTGATTTTAACCGAGATGACTGATAATGGATATAATGGCTTACGTCTCCAAGGACACGTCATCGACCGTACGCATCACCTATTACGTATCCATGCACATTAACGGCGTACACCAATTACCGTTCATGATATCAGGAGTGAATAATAATAGATTATTATTTGTATTATAATTATTATTATTACGTATCCATGCACATTAACGGCGTACACCAATTACCGTTCATGATATCAGGAGTGAATAATAATAGATTATTGTTTGTATTATAATTATTATTATTATTATTATCGTCGCCGTCGTCGTCGTCGTTGTAGTTCTTTGACACGGAATATATATATATGCTGCGAGCGTGTGACGTCAGCGCAGGTCGCCTCTAAGCAGACGAGTGCATGGCGGGTTGTGGAGGGCTTCAGGTGATAAAGAATCAGCAAACTGTTATTTTTATCAAGAGTAGAGGGAGAGATTGGGGAGAGAGAGAGAAAGAGGGAGAGAGGGGGAGAGAGAGAGAAAGAGGGAGAGAGAGGCGGAGAGAGAGGAAAAGAGGGAGAGAGAGGGGGGAGAGAGAGAGAGGGAAGGAGAAAGAGAGAGAGAGAGAGAGACAGGGAGATAGTGAGAAAGAGGGAGGTGGAGAGAGAGAGAAAGAACAAAAAAGAGAAAGAGAAAAATAGAAAGAAGAAGAACCGGTTGTGGAGAGACTGGTCGGCTATTCTGATCCAAATTCGAATCGTCGTCGACGGAAGGAAAGAACGGACGGCGAGATTGCCACAACGCAATTCGTCACTGTCTACAATTACTAAGCCAGTCTCTGTTTCCACCTCAGCTGGTTAATACAAGGTTATACTTTGCTAGAAACTCAAATTTCGAAAAGCCGAAACCGTATGTGATCTTCGTGCGAGTTCGTCTCCTCGGTTTCTTGAATTTCTTCGACCCGCAAGAAAATATAAGTTGCTGTATTTCCTGTCCGTTTCGATTTCGTACAACTTAAATTAGATTCGAAGTATCGCAGACAGCAGTAGCACCACTCTCATCTATCCACGCTGTCACCAAAAGCTAACGAGACAGATAGAAAGAGAGAAAGTATATATATATAGCGACGAGTATCAACAGCTACTACCCGACACGAAAATAGCATCGTGTAACGACATGAAAGGTGTGTGAGGTGCCAGAGATATTACGTTTATGGAAGGCGCGCTGGAGTGCGCCAGGGAATAATAATAATTAGACGACTTATATGAATAAAATTTTGCTTAGGTGAATGCGTATCCGCCTGTAGCGACTGCACGATCGTTAGAGCACAATCGCCTGCGTTATGCGTTTGGTTTCTTTGCACATTGTTATTACTCCCTCAACGTTCGAATTGCTAGCTATCTGTTTCTCGGACTGTCCTATCAATGCGCTCTCATGCGAACGTGAAGAACACAGCTTTCTACTATAGTTGTCGGTCTCATCCTCCTGTCCCAATGTCGCGTGGTTGCCTCTGTATTGTATAACACGGAACAAGTACAGCTGTGTGTAAGCCAGCAAGCTTCGCCAACTTCTGCATGAGGACGACGATGACGATGACGATAGCCACGCTGCGCTGGTTCTCACCAGGCGTCGGTGTTACTTGCTAGCTTGACTGTGAGAGGCGATACGCTTGGTGAGAGCAAGGCTCGTTTTCGTAAGAAAGATTGTCGTTTTCCCGAGACAAACAAAAGAAAAACTGGGGTTCTGCGGGATTCTTACTTGCTCTACCTTGGCGCTGCGTCCTGTATCAGAGCACGCCGGCCAAAAATTGATGGTGCAAACTATACGAAAACAGCCATCTTTTTTTATCGAAAGCGAGGCAGATCTTCTTACGTAGACGATCTTAGTTACGAACCATGACGTAACGTTCTTCTAGTAAGACTGTCGTACGGTGCATCAGAGAAGGTCACCGTGGTAGACCTATACATAGGTTCGTAACTACATCCGAAATGTGGTCAAAATATATGAGCTAATATACAGTGGGACGGTCTATATTGAACCAAAATAGCCATTAAATTATGTCAATTGAACGTGATTGTATATATAAATACCCGAAATGTCGCATAAACAACCTCAAGTAGACTAGATAAAAGCATTAGGGTAATTCACGGTGAAGATTTACCAGGATGTGGATCGAGTGCGGTCATTTATGGACAAAATACGAGCATAAAAATTGAACGTAAATGACTATCGGTCTGCGTCGCAGACGGTAACGACGAGCGTACGTTACGCCGTGCGGCTTTGCGTGGCCGAGTGACGTAAAGGAGGGGATGTATGCCGCGTGTTTAAGCGTGTCTTTCATCTTCAGGCGCCGATCGACGGCGGTTGGAGCGAGCCTGAGCTGATATCGGACTGTGATAGCGCGACGACGTGCCTTAAGGGCGGCGTGAAGCTGCTCATTAAAAGACGAACATGCACCAATCCCGCGTAAGTTATAATCATCGGGAGGAGGGGGAGGGGGAGGGGCTCGGTCAGGTAGAGAGAAGTCGAAGAGATACGGTGCTCGAACTAATGCGCAATGCGCATAGATACTACTGCACCACTGTTCGCCGCGTACTCGCGACTTCATCTGAATTCTGCAAATCTGCACTAGAGCACGTGCATTTCCTGGGATAAATGTAGAGAAAATAAATGAGAGCAAGGCTCGTTATCGTAAGAAAGATAGTAGATAGTAGTAAAAAAAAGAGAAAAAACTGAGACCTTGCACGGGATTCTTTCTTGCTCTACTTTGACGCACACACACACACGCGACGGCACGCACGCACGCACGCACGCACGCGGGCTGCGCCACGTGTTCGCCAGCTCGTTTGACAAGCAGCTCGAAGAAGACGAGTTATAGTCACGTCGCTCGTCTATATATATATATATCGAGGTACGCTTCGTTTCAGACCGGATAACGGCGGAAGCTCTTGCGTGGGTTCAGAGACGATCACGGAGATATGTCGCGGGCAGTAAGGTAAATGTGATTTTAACCGAGATGACTGATAATGGATATAATGGCTTACGTCTCCAAGGACACGTCATCGACCGTACGCATCACCTATTACGTATCCATGCACATTAACCGGCGTACACCAATTACCGTTCATGATATCAGGAGTGAATAATAATAGATTATTATTTGTATTATAATTATTATTATTAGAATTATCTATTATTATTCACTCCTGATAATATTACAGGAGTAGTAATTTACTTCAATATGCGCTTCACCGTAAATACTATCTTGTATAATGCCGTCGTGAATCTGACGTGTGCTGAGATGAGGCCCACGGCTGGGACGTCATAAATTTGCTTAAATTTGACAGACAACGTGGGGATTTTTTTTACTCTCAATGCGACGTCGCGTGATTTTTCTTACGAACGTCGATAACGAATTTTGCCGACAAAATGTGAT